TTCATCTGTGCATTTAGGTTAGGACCTGTCATATATCTTACTCGCATTGAGCAGAAGAGTTTTTCAAGGCGAGCAATATGGATGAGATTATCGGGATGCTGGAATGTGGCACATAGCGGTCTAGATAGTAGTTGTCAGTGGCTAAAACTGGATGCGAAATTAAATGATATAAACTTCTATCTAGACCGCTAATGCCATAAGAAGGTAAGCCACTCACGAGATCGAATTGAAGAACATGAATCATGCGAATTTAGGACCTATCATATATCTTATTCATCCAAGAAACATTACTCGCCTTTATGAACGACAGTTTTGAGGGATCCTGCGCATTGAGCAGAAGCGTTTTCAGGCGAGCAATTTACCTGAGATTTTCGGGTTGCTGAGATATAACTTATAACAGTCTAGATAGTAGTTGTGTCAGTGGCGAAAGTTCGTTCACAATACTTCGGAACATTCCCGAATCTGACTGACGAGTGGACGATGAGACGAACACTAACTGTGACATGACTGTGACGTAAAGCAGTGACTTCTAAATTGGAAAAGATTATATATGGAATAGAACAAATGTCAGAAACATTTTTGAGTGATTTTACAGAAATGAAATTGAATTAAATTTCTTAATTTTTTTTCAAATTGGCTACAAGAATGATAATAATGCTCGCATGTTCATGGCGACTAGATTTTCATAGTGAAGATTGTGTGCTTTCTAAATAGTCGATATCTTTAGTACTACGGTAATATAATGATTGAAAAACATTGCTATTACCACAAGACCGTTCCTTGGTAATAATGACATTCTTCACTACCATGGTGTAATAAATATCTACTTTCCACTATTAGTAATGTTTTTCAATCATTACAGTTCCCTAGAACTAAAGAAGGTACTTTGAATAAGCATATTTTTTATTATGAATATCATGAATATGAGCATGAATGCCATTTTTGTACAGGTTTTGATGAGAGACATTTCATAAAATATATTTAGTTTCAGTTTTCTAAAATCACTCAGAAGTCTGTCTGAAATTTTACATACATTCAATATAGATATTGTTTTTGAATCCCGAACAATTGTATAATTTTCTTAACGCTGTCAATCAATTGGGATTTGGGAATGTTCCAGATTGTCCGAACAAACTTTGACTGCCAGGTTAGGCAGTCAACTTCGTATGTTACCTAGGCTGTTTGTGGTATTAGGTTAAAAATCTGTTCAGAACTGTGTTTCTGATGCAACATTGCAGGTAGGTAATTGAAATTCGATGAGTTTGCCTGTCTCTAAGGTATTATATTTCTTTCCCATTTTTCCACATTTTGGCTAATGCTAGCGTAGTGAATTCAAATTAATAATAGCTATATTTAGAGTAGTGAATTCAGATTAATAATATGAAACACTAGTTAAATACATGGAAAATTACCGTCGTAGAGAAATAGCATCACGCGACTGGTAAAGTAAGAACGTTCCAAATGTTCCGTCACTTTTAAAAAGTGCCAAATTACATGTCAAAATTCAAAAAAACATATATTTCTTTGCTTAATTATCTCGTACAGATACGACTTTCTAGAATTCAACGGATTACATAGTTCTCATTTTCATCATTGTGGACATGGAAATCGTGTTATTCACAATTCGATCCTGCTTTTATCTGACATCTCATCTCGCCTGAATCATCAATTAGGTGTAAAAATAGGAATGTTTGAGACGCACATGAACAAACATTTACAAAAAATAATAAAATATCTGAAGCAAGAAGTATGCACCTATTCACTATGGTCAACTGGTTTCTCATGATTTCTGAGGTGACTGTACTGTTGAAAATTTTTTTCACTAAATTAGAATTTCATCAGTGATTAGAATTGGCTTATTCAGGTTAGTTTGGATAAAAAAAATAAGGGCCCAGTTACCATAGTTGAATGTATATTGCTTTGGAGATATAACACCACAAACATTATTGGCAGGAATGGCAGAGTTTGTTCATTTTTATTATCTAAATATATTTTGTACTTATTTGAATCGCACTTTACTCATTCTGATGCACGAGGAAATACTGGGAAAAAAATCAGTCGTTCCACAAGGAGCGAAACTACTTTCAAAACCAATATCCAGTACGTTATTCACTTTTTTGTATTGCCTACATGTTTTTTACTCATGAAGTATTGTGAAAAAATACTAAATACTGAACAATGAAACAGATATTGTATTTTGAAGAGTTTCTGGGAATCCTAAATGGCACCTATATTATATTTTGAACATTTAATGTTTACATGTTGTTAAAACTGACGGTTGATAAAGTCATCCAGGTTTTTTATATTATCCGCTGAATTGAAGATATTGAGATTTTTTGTATATACTTCTTATAAAATAATATTTCACTTCCTTGAAAATAATGTAAAGCACAGTTACAATAATCTTTTCTATAAAAAACAATAGTCTCTTTTAATAACAATGTTCCATTATAGATTGAAAATATAAATTGAGTAGCTATAATATATGTACTTATAGTTGAATACAAAACTCATATAATGAAATCTACACTACTTTAGATATGAAATTGATTGAAATAGACAAAATTTCCCTTGATCAAGGGCCAATGGACAATGCATTGAGGTCTAGAAAACCGAAAAAGGTATCATCGTTCATAAAATATTCCAACAGAGATGACGAAAACTGACAATTTTTTGATACTATTTTTCTAAATTCGAAAATGTGTATAATATATATATATATATTGACCTGCTCGAAATTTTTCAACTCTTCTATTTACTGAATTTGAACTGATTTGAGTATGAACTCTGTATAAGATCAAATCATCAGATTTGTCTAGTGATAACATACTTTTGTAGTCTCAAATTTTCAAAGCAATAACTCATACACTTTTAATTTTCTAAATAAAAAGGATTATTATAAAATAAAAATGCATAGCAATATATCTCATATATACATCATATATCATTTGATTAAAAACTTGCCTAGTCTCTACTGGGTTTTCAACCTCTTTGTTAATCGTCAAGTCACCCATGAAACAAAAAGGAACTCAAAATTTTTTTGCTTGTAGTGTCCCCTTCACACACATATTGTATATTATAGAATATGATCAGATTTATGAACTACTAACACTTTTTGTGAATACTTTATATAAACCTATCAAACTGGATCAGATAAATAAATTAATACAATGAAATGATGGCAAGACAAATAATCTGACCAGCAAAATCAACTCACCTTGAAATATTTCTTTCATAAAAACATGTTTTTTTTAAAGGAAATTTGGAACACCCCACCAATAATGAATAACAATTGAAATATATAGAGCGCAAAGGCGCTGAGTTCGTATGGAGACTCCCACAGAGTCATGGGTTCGAATCTCAGTTAGGCCATGGATGTTTGTATTTGTTAACCAACGAGGTAATGCAATTGAAAAAAAAAATGTGCAAGAAATTTACATGTACCCCTATGGAAAATGTTTATGCTTGTCCCCCATCAGCTGCTCAATGACAGACAGCTCTACGTCATATGACGTCACTGAGAGTACTTTATTACCAAATTATGTCATCCACTTCTCTGTTGAGGAGATGCAATTTACATAAAGTGAATTTTGAGTTCAAATTGGCCATTGCATAGTTCAGACATTGATCTGATAGAAACAACTCACCACTTTCCCTTGATGGCGTTAGATAGACGTTGAAGCGAATTTTTGAATGAGCAACTGGTAGTTTAATATCAAGTTTGCAGCGTGGTTAATGAAGTTATAATACGGAAATACCACACGTCACTGATTGTGAAAGTCAATTTTGATTACCATTGGGTTAAAAACATGTGCTATATCAGTAGGAGGTAGGAGTTATCGTTCTATTAATCGGAAAATGAAATGTGTTGTCAGCTCTCCGTCTAAAAGTTTATGAGATTTTTGTATCATCAAAAACTTAATTTCCTGTGAACAATGTCTGCGCTCTCTCAATGGAGGGGTACAGAAATAGATTGACGACAATAGTGATGCACTTTTTGATAGGTAGACCTCAAATATGGAGGTGTCTTGTTTTCTCCAGCAGTTCTACGCATTCGACGTCACTTTGTCACTGTTTCTCGCTCTTTTTGGGACTCAGATTATTAAGATGATGAAATGAAAATAACAAATATCAAACCACTCATCAGGTAGGCACTTTGAATGCGCAAATTCATCACTGCATGGGAGGTACCCTTCAGATTTATAGCTATTCAGTGACTGGCCACAAGTGACATTCTGGCAACGGCAGCCATTTTTGAGATTTATCGTCGCCACTCTGTTTTATTCAGTCTCTAATATGGACAATCAGACATGAAACTCTATACGTCGATACCTTGGATATCAACTATTAAAATCCGTCTTTTGGGACTCGTAAGTCTCACATGATGAAATGAAAATATGGAATATCTAAACCTAATATCAGATGGGCAATTCGCAGGCGCAAATTCATTACTGTATGTGAGATACCTTTTATAGATGTTCAGCTATTCAGGCTATATTCCGAATTCAACTGACAGTACTGAATCTGCTGAATTTTCATTCCGAAATCAAAAAAATTTACTGAAAGTGACATACTCGTGAGCAGATATACTATTCATTCCTAATATTTCGACTCAACATTCTGCTGAAATTGCTGAATATCAAAAGGTAGTGTGGCTTCGGTGAACTGTCATTATTTTTGGTGGGAAAGGAATGACACATTCATTTCCGTTGTTTTTCAAACATTTGTCTTGGCTTATCAAAAATACATTAATAATATCATTTTTATATCAGAAAATGCCTGTTATTTATTTAGCTCAAGCCGGAGCATCTGCCAGATCAATGACAACTGACAAATTTCACCAGCTGATCAACTGCTGCTGATTACTGATGAAAACGTGTTCCGAATTACAGCACTGTATTTTTGATTTTATATTTCGGAACACAGCCATTCAGCAAAGTCAGTGGATCTACTGACAGTACTGACCAGTTGAATTCGGAATATAGCCTCAGTGACCTGACCACGAATAACATTGCGGAAATGGCAGCCATTTTGAGGTTGCTGCCACTCTATCTCTTATTAAATGCATTTGTGTTTCCATGGCGTTTCCATTACTTTTTCAGATATTTCAAGGCATGACATGTGTTTCCTAACTCTGAAAAGCATTAAACGTTAGATCTTCTATGTATTTACGAACGTGTGGGTGAAACAAAACCTACAGTAAATTTGAAGTACTGCGTTGATTTTGCTGGCCAGTGTAGTATTGTGGATTGAAGTATCATACTTGGGCTTTTGTTCTCAATCAACTCTATAGAACTTTTTTTGGTTCAATTTTATATGTTGATGACAAAAACATTAATAAAGCATTAGTTGTCTGAAATGAGCCCACCTTTTTCAATTTCCTAACTTGCTCAACAACCACTCTTCTGTTAAATCTTCTAGTTCCCTAATCTCAAAGCCTCTGGTTAGACCAGCTTCTTGCTGCAATGCCAGTTTAGAACCGGCATACATCATCTGTAGTTCGGCATGACTATCCCTAGAAATATGATGATCAATTATTTTCAAGATAATATATCGAAACTGGTGCCAATTTCCACATTCCTCCTTGAAAAAGTGTGGATGGAATTTTTGAGGAAAAACCACATAGTTAACACAATTTTTGATGGCGGTTACAAATCTGTCACCAAGTTGAATTTTCGATTTTTTTTCTCAAAACATAAGAACAAAATGCGGGAGAATATACTGATACACCCTCCTAATTTGAAACCCGTTGACCGATTTTCTTTCGAAAATGTGGACAAATCTGAAATGTTCAGATTCTCAAGGCCAACTATTGTTTCTAAAAGGGGTAAACATCTCAAAACTCAAAAACGACTATTAGGCATTTTTTCCAAAAATATTCACATTCAAAATTTCAACGCAATTGGATAACAAACTCCCTATATGAGGTATTGCGTGAAAATTTTGTAGGGGGGTATTTCAGCTATGCCTGAATCGAAACGGTTATCTACTTTTTGCCTAATAGTCGTTTTTGAATTTTGCCCCCTTCAACAAACAATAGCAGGCTTGAGAATCTGAATATTTCTGATTTTTGCCCACGAGAAGCTCGTTGATTAGGTACTATACAGGGTTTCATATTATATGCGCAGGACTTCGGGATGTGATATCTCATAGAAAAAATATGAAAATAATAAGCTATGTTTTGTGCGGATTTTTTTTCGATATATCATAATTATTGAAGATTTTGAAGGGGCAGTTGTTGTTTTCATGCTCAATTTCTACGCCACTGGAAAAAGGACAATCTTGAGCAGCCCACTTGAACCGCAAATATCTTCTACACAAAAAAGGTACTCTTAGTTATAAGCAAGTTGACAATTTTCAAATAAAATCAACTTTTATGTTGGAAAATATGGTGATAAATAACCATCCATAACGAAGACGTGAAATCGTCCTAACTCTTATGAACAATATATCAGAAATGAATTATCGTAATTTTGTAAAATTTGGCTGCGATGTTTCTCTATTGAAACCTTGATTGAAACTAATCAAAATAGCATATTATGAAAAAAAAACAGATCCGGTCTTGGAAAAAATGTATGTTTTATTTTTATATCGAAAAAGTTCTATTTGTGATCACTTTTCTTGAAAATGTCATCAGATTTAGAAAGATCAGACAGAACGCCATAAGAACTGCTCTTCAATTTGCACGGCACACTTGCACCGGTTCAATGAAAAAATATGAAACAAAATCGTCTCCTCATGAATCACCCTGTATAGGCGATTAGCAGTCCATTTGAAGCGAGATCCTTAAGGATCTCTAAGGACCTCAAGCTGTTTCCCCGAATTATGGATTAATTATTCGATGACGTCATGAACCGAATTCTTGCTTTCGCATAAAAAGTAAGACCACATATTTCGCAACTGCCAGATTCATAGCTAGTAATTACCTCATGAGATTCAATATGACCAATGACAATAGTATTCACATTCACAGAAGACAATAATAATCACTCATTGAAACCAATAAAAATATCCTAGTATTCTTAATAATGATTGAGATTTTATTTAATCCCAAATTATTTTGTGGCACGGGCAACAGTGTAATGCCTAGGTTCCCAGAAAGACAAAAATAAGAAGAACTTCCTGACGTTAATATCGGCTGTCACTTTCATCGTCAAATTCTTGTTTCATCGAATCAAGATGCGAATATTCAAAGATAATCCTGCTCATATTATCTGATTCTTTAGTTGTGTGTTGTGTTCTATGTTATCTGCAGTAAGTATTCACTGTCCAAAACAGTGGCTAACGACATTCTGAGCCTAAACAGAAGTCAGATCAAACAAGTGATGGGACTAATAACCGGTCACTGCCCCTTGAGGAAACATATGCATCAAATGGGCATCTATACAGACGAACCCATATGCAGACTATGCAATGAGGAGGAGGAAACTGCCACCCATGTAATATTGGAGTGCGAAGCACTAGTGCGTTGGAGATACAACCTTCTGGGAGCAGTAAACTCTCAAGAGGCATTTTCAAAGAATGATCTGGTGAAGAGGCTGCTAAACCTCATCAAGGTAGCGAACCTGTTCACCTAAGTCAACAGCATGATCAGGAATACAATGGGCCCAAAGGCTGCAGTGTTTTGGGCTTCAAACCCTGACTGATCATTCTGCTATTAATCAATCAATCAATCAATCAATCAAGTATTCAATCCATAAAATGTATTCCATATTCCGATTGAAATGACTATTAGAAATATTCTTGCACTTGTCTACCAGAAATGATTACGTTTTCTAGGCTAATAAAATTAAATCGAAAAAAACCGTTTTGAGGAATTAATTTCCAGCAAACTGGAAATCGTTTTAATACCTCTATTTGGTCCTAAATCCGTGTAATCTGAGTTTGCACCATGTTAGGTGGTGAGCTTAACTTTTGGTAGCCAAAAAACCGCCACATTTTTGCACCTTTTTTATTGTTTTGCTTATAGCTGCAAAACGGTGCGTCGGACGGAAAATGTTATTCCATTCATTAATACAGAGGACAAAATTCTGCGTCGAATGACATCTGAAAACATCAAATTCCGTTCAGAGGTATAGCCGAAATCGAATGTTAAAAAAAAAGAAAATTTCGTAGTTCGGTGCCAACTTACATTTTGCGGCTTTCCAAGACGACATTTCTTGAAAACAGATATTCCTATTGAAAAAATTCATTGAATAAAAGTTGTAGAGGATAAAATTTCATAATCATAGTTCCTAATAGTTAAGGTACAATGAAGGAACGAAAACACTTCATTGATGAACAGTTTGTGGCATAAATCAATATATAATAGGCATGCAACACAAAATGTGGCAGCATTCATGTTCGCATTTTCTTTGATGTCGATGGTCCTTCATCTGACAAGCTCAGACGGCGCGATTGCATATCGAGGCCCCCTTCATCTGGATCATCTTCAATGGGACTATCCTCACCTATTTCTGCTTCTACGGCAATGAAGGTCACATCCTCATCCTCGAATTGTTCTGAATTCGAGCATGACTGGCCGTTGCAGTTGAGGCATATTGTTGAACATTTCATGCCTACTTTTCGGCAGCTGCACTTGCCTGTACACTCCTTTGTACATTTGCAGGACACAGTATTGCAAAAAATCCATGGAATCCTTTGTTTCTGAATGTTTAGGTAACAATAATTAAGGCTTTTTAACTCTTTTCAAATTGTGACAAAATTTCACACTACCTAATTTCATTTATTATTTACAATGAATTTTGTTTGGCGTTTCTAAAAAAAAAATTTGTTTGCAACTCGTGCGCGAAATACTTTGGTGATTTCGACTATTTTTAAACTTGGCTGCGCCTCGTTAAAAAAATCAGCTCTCGATCACCAAAGTAGCATTTCGCGCACTAGATGAAAAATAATTATAAATTGATGCAAAATTTGGGACCGAAGCTGAACCGGGCATTCAGATATCCGGATAATTGGACAAATCAAGAAAACTTAAACATTTGGACATCTATCTATATAACGTGAAATTTTATTCTCTACAACTTTTATTTTATGGGTTTTTTCAATAGGAGTATCTGTTTTCACGATATGTCGTCTTGGAAAGCCGCAAAATGTAAGCTTGCACCGAACTACGAAATTTTCTTCTTTTTTAACATTCGATTTCGGCTATACTACTAAACGGAATTTGATGTTTTCAGATGTCATTCGACGCAAAATTTTGCCTTCTATATTATTGAATAGAATGACATTTTTCGACCGATGAACCATTTTGCAGCTATAAGCAAAAAAATAAAAAAAGTGCAAAAATTTGGCGGTTTTTTGGCTATCAAAAGTTAAGCTCAACTCCTGGAATGGTGCAAACTTAGATTACACGCATTTGGGACCGAATGAAGGTAATTAAATGATTTCCAGCTTGCTGGAAATTAATTCCTCAAAATATAATTATTTGATTGGCCTATTCCGCGTTTATCATGTTATGAAATATCGTGAATATCAATAATTACTCAAAGAAGTAACAGAGCTCTGAGGAAAAACGGCTTGCGATAGTCAACTAATTGAGGTTAGTACTTTGAAATAATGATATAATATTTCTCACTGAAACAGGTTCATTCTTTGTCGATCCAGGTTCACACCGGATTGTGTACACCATTCTAGTAATAGTGACAGTCTCAGAAAGTTGAAAACCTATTTAGACTTGTGAATGATGGAATGATTTTTTTTTTGTCCGTATCAACAAAATATGAATTTTTGATTAAACTAAATATGCATTTCTATTATGACGATGAGCTCGACACCTTCAGCCGCCACAGGACGATGGAATTGAATTTCCATTTTTTATTTTTATGCAAGACTCTTTGAATACGTGGAGAAATGTGTGCCACATGTTGAATATCATTGATATGATTGATGATTTCATACAAAAATCAAGTACAACCTGTAGCGGCTAAACGTAGCATTTTGGTATAGACGTTAGTTTGGTGCAATCATCTCACTCTGGTCTCAGGAGTCTATGGTATCATTTTATACAGACCTTTCAGGGTGTTTACTTACTCGCTACGGCCCATAAAAGCCTACTTTACGATCTTGCTAAATCAATAACTATCATGGATTTGCAAAAATGGCTTACCTGGGCGTGAAGAAAATAAAACATAATGGGTAGGATATTCTGCCATCTTTGTGTTCTTGACGGTATGATAATACAATATACCTTGGTTGATGACCTGGTAGGGATTCACGAAGGTCATCAACCAAAATTGCCTCCAATTTTTCGTCCAGAATAATTTGCTGCTTTTCTCTGTCTACTTTCACTGTAAAAGAAACGTACATAAAAATATAAATTATGTATGTTACAATAATAATCATCATCGATTTATTTCAGAAAATAAAGTACACATAGTATAATTACAATTTTTAAGCAAATTATTTGTTAATGAATAGAGAAGATGTAGTAAACAAATAGAATTTTCAATTTTCTTTTCTTATAACAATAACTGTAATATGAAAATACTTGGTGCCAACATTAGAGCGAATTAGAATGGATTGACTGCCACAAGATGGCGATAACATGACTAAATCATCATGTATCAGCCGACGTCTTCGGAATGGTTGATATACCCGAAGCGTTAAGTTATCTAATATTCCCAATTCTCAGCAGACCAAGAGCGGCTGATGGAGTCTGGTGAGAAGCTAGACCAGCGATCTTTCAAACATCGAGGTCAAGCGACGTCACCCACAACACATGATATTTTTTCCTTCTTTATATCGAGAAACTACGCTACTACGACTAAAGCGATAGCTTAGTTGTCTGTGTATCTGACTTCCACGTTGGTGGCTGGGGTTCAATCCCTGCGAGGCGTCAATTTTTTTTAAAATTTTAATGTTTCAAAAATATACTTTTCAGGAAAAAGATTCATTTAGACAACTTAGGTTGAAAGTACTTTCCTTTTTCATGCAGAAAAGATATTTTCCTTCCTCATATTACCTTATAAACACGAATCACCTTCCGATAACCTTGAGGTTTGAAAGATTCGCTGGTCTAGCTAGACGCTTGTAGCCTGGTGGGCCGAAACATCATTGTCTCGCACTCGCTAACAATTGGGGCAACTATATTTCTCCTAGATCTTAGTTATCAGTTATGAGATCTAGTTCTTTCAATAAGATTCAAAATTCAGAATGCAGGTAGTGACACCCCTATCAGCATAGTGCTTTAGTTGTAGGACCACTATCAGTAGGGGAGCCCAAGCGGGGATTTTGGTATTTACTCGAGCGCGGAAGAATATCATAAGGGGGCTAATCTTGCACCTTGTGAAGTACTCCCACCCTACCTGGGCTCTTTATATGGTGTCGAACGTCTACGGCAGCCGATCAGATTTGTAAAAAAAAACGATAGTTGGAAAAACTCGAGCGCGTCAGATTAAAGGAAGGTAAGTTAATTACATGCAGAAAAGTGTGCATAAAATAATCTGCCGATTTGCACAAGCCGAAATAGCAAAAATCGTCAATTAAGTGTGCGTGCTTGCAGCCGCTAGGAACAATGTTTTCCCACTTCGCGCCACTCTGTCCTTCTCACTCTTTCATTATCTCTCACCCTCTCGCACCGTCCCCATATATAGCACAGATTACCCTCACCCAATGTCCCAATGCGAAACCTAATAGGCTTCCCGCCAGAAACATAAAGATTGCACTTGTTTTGACCTGTTGTTCTTGAATATGTAAAAATATACAAAACCGGAAGTATTGGATTGTAATGTGAACAAATCCGAAATAATTGCTTATATAACTGTATCAAAATTCAGAAAATTCCGTTTATGAATGCAGAAGTTACAGGGGTGGCCCGATACCCTCTGTCTCACCCGGTATATCTACATAAGCATTTTATCTTCAAATTGTAAATTCTTCGAGCTGTGAAGTTCTACTACAAGAAACTGACTCACCCTGTATATATTGTTACGTTATTCGGGTGCAGAAGCGAACTCGACACTATTTATTTTCGAACTGGTTTATTTTAACTAAAGGAACTAATTTATATGGAACTTGACTAGAACAATATCTCTTTCTCTCTCTGATTGTTCCATCGATTGTTTCGAAATGATTCCAGATTCTTCTTCTGTCAGGTTATGTGTCGCCGTGACACATATTGGGTGTTCGGAAATACGCTGGTACATGTTAGGATCATTGTATTGTTCGAGAGTGATCCGGGAGGCGTGTGACTGGGTGATCGTGGTACTCCTGCCTTTTTGATGATGTTCTAAAGCCCCTTTAAGTGGAATATCATCACACTGCCCCCTTCTTAAAACGCATTCCTCCTGGAATGCACTCTGCTCGTTATGAAGATACGGACAACTTGTTTCATTTCTACAACGTGCAGTACGGTAGAAATAGCATGGCACTGTCTTTTTTCTTGAGGTTCCTTTGGAGTTTCAGCAGCATACCAGAATTCCGGTGAATCTTAATACAACCTCCAGCATATTTCTTACAATTCTCCAATTCAAGCCATCCAGACTACACGCCAGCTTTAGAACAGCTACCTTCTGTCTGTCCTTGTCGAGTATGGCGCTTCGTAAGTCGACTAGCGTATCCCAGAGGTCCTCGTAAGTGGGTTTCTCAGGAGATCTTGCTTTCGTTATTAGATAAAACACATACCTTTTTCCTTCAGGAATGATATCTTCTATTTATAGTGCTCGACCGACGGAGGGACCCTGTTGATGAAGCTCCTCTAACTTTCCGAATTTCCTCATGAACTTGTTGGCTATTCCTTGAGACATCTGAAGATCCTTGGCGACGCAGAGAACTAGTGCGTAGTCTACAGGAGTGGCAAAAATGTCGCGGTGCTCTTTCTTGGTGATGCCAAACCTTGCTTTTGATGAACCACTGTATGTCCCAATAAATTCGTCGAATGTGAGCTCCTTTTCTTTCAGACATACTTGTTGATCTTGTGGTGCTAGTCTGTTGAAATGAACGACTCTTGGTTTGCGACTGAGTACTTTACTAATGCGGTAAATGACATCGTTTATCTTCTTGACAATATACGGTCCTTCCCAAGGTCTCTGTCGTATAGGTCTTTAATGCGGCGATTTTCAGATAAGAACGAACCAATTCGTGAATATCGTTCAACTTTTTCATCAGATTCGTAACGTAATCTTCCGCCACTATATCCTCACCAGGTATACATCCGAAGACCAAGTCACATGTAAGCCTCATTTCTTGTCCAAATAGGTCTACATCCGAAGACCAAGTCACATGGAAGCCTCATTTCTCGTCCAAATAGAACATTCGCCGGAGTCTGCCCTGTAGATTCTTGTACTGCAGATCTGTAGCCCCTCAGAAAGAAAGGGAGATGTTGGTCCCAGTCTTATTGGTGTTGATCCACAACTTTGCAGAGATACCTCTCTATGTTTCGGTTCATTCACGCAACCATGCCATCTGACTGCGGATGCAATAGAGTTGTTCTTGTCTTCTTGATTCCTAACTTCTCGCTCTTCTTCTTGAACACTTCACTCTCGAAGTTCCGGCCCTGATCAGAGTGAAGATCCAATAGCACCCCAAAACGACTGATGAATTGATTCCTCGCTTGATTCATTTGGAAATCGACGACAGTTACGGCCTCCTGGTTAGGGATCGCATACGCTTCCACCCACTTGGTGAATTAGTCCATGCAGACAAGAATGTATTCATTTCCATTATCAGTCACTGGAGATAGCCCAGCAAAATACATGGCAATTCAACATTGTCCTGTCTCATGGGGGCCCTTGGTTTACGATGAGGCCCATTGCTGGCAAAGCATACTGTGCATTCACGGCACCACTTCCTGACGTCGTCACTGCAGTTCACCCCTTCTTCAGTCCTAGATGCCCCCCTGAAGTTCCATCATGTACTTATCAGAGTACTTCCAACACTAGGTTCCTAGAAATTACTAACTGCATCCGATTATTCGACCCGTCTTCGCTCTCGTGATTCCTCTTCAGCAGGTCTTCTTCTAATACCAAGGAGTCCCACTGACGCCAGTACGCCTTCAAGGTCTGTGAAGATGATGCTACTTTCTTGCGAAGAAGGGCGGCGATTCGCTTTATTCCATTCCCGAAGCTTCCGAAGTTCTGGATCCTTTTCTTGACAACGGTGGTTCTGCAGAGGGCTGCTTCCTTATCCTCTGAACGACTACAATGTAAGCACTCAGGTGGACATGGCCTTCTGGACAATACATATTATGCATTTTTATGGCTTGTCCCCACTCGGTGTGCTATCTCGAAGTCATATTCCTGGAGCCTCTCAATCCAACGTGCTATTTAGCCTTCGGGGTTCTTGAAATTCAGGAGCCACTTCAATGCAGCGTGGTCCGTCCTGAGTAGATTTTCGTCCATAGAGGTACTTATAGCAGTGCTTCACTAATTTTACCATAGCCAATAGTTTCCTCCTGGTAACGCAGTAGTTACGTTCTGCCTTCGATGGCACCTTGCTGAAGTAACCGATGACTCGCTCTTGCCCATTTTTATACTGCAAAAGGACTGGCATCTGTAATATTCTCATGCTGGGCCATTATCTGTTCCGATATCCCAGCCAACATCGGTTCCGCTGAAGCTGGTTCCTCGAAGGTGAACTTCTCTGAATCTTGACCGACGCTTATCATATACTCTTTGAGGCGATGCTGAAGTGTAGCCTTGATCCCTGTTGTATCGAGATCTCTCTCCCACAACTGGCGTTTCAAGTCCACCACTGTCAACTCGTGTAGTTTCTTCATTGTCACAGTCTGATCACTTCACACTGGAATATATTACTTCTCCGTTCAGAAGAATGCAAAAGGATTCCTTGATTTTTCTCTAGTAGCAATAATTTGTTCATTCCTTATTGAGAGTTGAGACCACTGGTACCACTGACATAAACTACTAGGTCTGTTCGTTTGTGTTGATGAACTCGCTAAAGTTGATTTTGTTCCAGTGGCGTAGCTATGGACGGGCAGTTCGGTGCAGTGCACCGGGGCCCCGGGGCATTGGGGCCCCGGAGGGGCCCCTATATCCCAATCTGCATTAGCAGGTATAATGCAAGAAAGTATTGGTGTGCAAATTAATTCATGAACCCTGTAACTTTTTTAATCCTTGTCAGATTTTTGTGAGATTTCGATCAAATCGTAGATTCATGTTCCGGAATGTTAGTCTAAATATTAGTTTCTGTGAAAAACTGATGACTTGATCATTATATAGGGAAATACCAAAGTTACTATTTCACCCTTTACTTCTTAACGCCATGTGGCAAAATTGAGTTATTGAACTTGGCTTCATTATGCTCTGGATTGAAGTTTGATCCCTTCCTAACA